ACCACTGAAAAATTTAGATCCTGGTTGTTTCAAAACATGTTCAAAACAAAATGAAGTACTTACAACCTGAATCTCTCTTTGTCTCTTCTTTTGCACCTGTTGAATAGGGATAACTCCACCCCCAACCCTGAACCTGAAAAGGTGGCTGAGAAGACAGATTAATTAATAACCCTGAAGAACTCACTCAGCACTGAAGCAATGAGCACTAGAAAGAATCCACGAAGAAATGGAAAAGCAGGATGTTGGAGCAGTCTCTGACTGCAAGACAGCAATGAAGGTAACACAGCCTTCCCAGGGAAGAAACCTTAGCGGGTCATGAAGTTACAGAGCACAGCATGTTGCTTGGCATGAGGGTGTAATTACAGTGTGTTTAAGGGAGTTAATTCTGGGATTTCCATACTTTTGAGTGCTTAATTTACAGTACTTGTAATTTATCAGACATTCAGATTGTAAAGTGCCTGTTTCCTGTACATTGGCAGGTTGCATCCAGTAAGGACTAAAAGCGTTGGTGTGATGGGTGTTTGCTCTCTGTTGGGTGGGATGAATTTGCTGGGACTATGCTTGAGCTCTCCTGACATGACCTCCCTCTCACACTCATTCAGCTCAGCCAGGATGAAATAGCTCTGGTGACTGTGGGGAAGCTGCCCATATCACAGACAGGACCAATACATGCTGACAGAGCAGGACATGGCAGAAGTATCTGGTAGAGAACAGGGACTTTGTTCAACACAGACGTTTGCTTGACATCTCTTATCAGCACTGATTTCTACACAAAGGTCTTCAAACTCATGTGGGGAATTATAAGGAAATTGCTGCAATTGTCCAAATATTGTAAGAAATTATTTGCATAAAATGCTACATGCGAAGCAGAAACAACCTCAGTGGTTTATAGGAGGCTGAAGTTGGTAGCTGCTCTAGCCTTGATTTTTAAATAGCACTATGCACTGAATGATTGTGCAAACAAGATGAGTGAGATGGATGGGGTGAGATGCAGTTTTGAATGTTACTGTCATAAGCCTGTAGCAAGCGAGAGGGCTTGAAAGGAAACTCCTGCACCCACCCGTGCTGAGGAAGCTAGTTACACAGGGGGACATGGACTTTGGAGGCAAAGGTGCTGGCTGCAGCTAAGGCTGAGAAATGGCCCACGTGCTCTCTGGGCTCTGAGGAGCCCTTTTTTTTTTAAATTTCATTTTTTCCTTATTTAAACCCTGGAAACATAACATCCTACAGAGGCAGGATTTAACCTCTACCCTTTCCAATAGAGGTTTTTTCCCAGCCACTTCATATGGAAGGCTTGAATAACTTTCCTGAACTGCCCATCCCAAGGTCTTCCTATGCTCATCTTGCTTTGAACCTCAGATCTGCACCTTTCCTGCTGCAGTTGGAGCCTGTTGCTTCTTACCCTGCTCTGGCTGCACAGAAACCAGTTGACCACCCTTTCCATTACAACATATGAAAGACTGCTCCTTCCTCCCCACCCACTTCCCACCCCCAAGACTTCTCTTTTCTAGGCTAAATGGACCCAATTTCTTCACTCCTTTCTCTTAGTGCAATATTTCTATGTATTTATCCTTTGTATTGTTCTCTTCTGGACTATTCCAATTCTGGACCTGGGACTCTTAATGGGTACTGGCCCTGCACAGGCAGTACAGGGCAGTGATCTCCTCTGCCTTGTCCCAGCACCCTAGACCTGTACCCAGCTCCTTTGCGACACCTCTGTGCTGCTGGCAAAGCTTTGGCTTTCAATGCTCTGCAGCCCCTGGATTTTTCCCTGCTATTCTGCTGCCCTGGTCGGTTATACCCCAGATCTTATATCTACATCTTGCTTTGCTTTATATTTGCATTTGTTCTTGCTGAACTGCATCTTGCTGCTTTCAAACCATTTCTTCAGCAGTTGAGATCACATTAAGCCCAACCTCCAGAGTCCCTGCAGCCACTCTGTCCCAGAAGAACAGGACTCCCTTAAGCGTGCTGTTATTCAGAAGGGACAAATGCAGGACTGGATGGCCCCATACTTCCTTTAAAACTCTCTGGAACTAGCCCTTCTCCATCAAGCTGCTGGTCCAGCAGTAACCTAACACTTGCAAGTTCATCCAATGCCACTAACAGTGATTTCACTGCTACTGTGATCAAGATCAAGAAACCTAAATGATCCCAGAGAGAAACTCAGGGGATGTTATTCACTGTAAATTTAGTCACCTATGTCAAGCACCAAGATTAGGAGAGTGCCTCCTGAGGCTCCCCCTCATAGCAGGGGAGAGCCTGGGGAGGGGCAGCAGGAAACCAGCTCCCCAGCCTGCAGCAGGTGCCAAGGGCAGCTCCCACAGAGCTGTGAGCAGGTGCTGGTGGAGCCATGCTGGTCGTTTCTGCTGCTCTGGGTTGAGGGATTGCATCTCTGACCAGAGGAATGGCACAGGCCACTGCCTGTGAGGAGACAACATGGGTCCTGCCCAGCCCAGAGGAGCACTGTGAAGGCTCTGCCATCTTCCCACCAGGAGATACTGTCTCACAGCACACTTATTCACTCATAAGTGACAGGAATTCATTAGCACTGTAGCCAGCTTGAGGGCAAGGAGTGTGTTTGGGCAAGGCAGAAAAAGGGATGTTCTCTTAGTCCCACTCAGCAAGACCAAGCGTCCAAGCCCTCTCCCCTGCTGTCGCTCTCTCCTGAGGTGTCTCCATCAGTTGTTAATAAAAGCCCAGCTCTGGGCAAACCAAGGTGCAGCTCAAAACTTTCCTCCTGTGGATCAAAGAATAGCCTTTGCCATAGACACGTTCTGGACACTTTTGCACAGACTATCCTGCCAGGACACCCAGCTTCCCTGCACCACCTCCTGCCAACACACCCGCCACCTTCCCGATTGCCTCCCTTCAGATACTGGCTTTGCTAGATATAAAAAGAAGGAATTCAGTTTATTTGCCCAATAATGGAACAAGGATATTTTTCTCTGAGGAAGAAGCTCCCTCCATCCTGCCCTGAGTAACAGCAGCATGCAGAGCAGGATGGGCTAGGCAGTCTCTGAGACCCACTCACCAGCAGAGGAGTGTGGTTTCCTCAGGAGAGTGGGAATCCAGCACTGTGCTACCTGGAAAGGAAGTGCTGCTCAGGGTTGCAGAGTTCAGAAGAAGTGTAGCAATGGAGCAAGTGAATGGATCCTTCAACAGTTGTGCTGCTATCTGGTGCCTTGGGAAACCTGAACTCAATGCCCCTCATCTCACCAATGCCTTCGGCTACTTCATGCCTGGAGCCAGCCACACCAGAGGAGCCCTGCCTACTACAGGGGGGCTGTACTGCCAGGAGATCAGGTCCCTCAGGGTGGTTCATGCCAAGCAAGCAAACCCATGTTAGAAAGTGTGGTGGATCCTAACATTTCTCTACAGCACACCAGGAGAAAAAATACACTCCAGGCTGTGAAATGTTCGGATAGTAGAGCCAAGGGTAGGGCACCAGTGCCACAGGATGTTTCTAAAGAGGGAAATGGGTCAAAATGGAGCAGTTTTGCTACTGTAGCTAAGCCAGACAATTTCACCAAGCTGCTCAGCCTGCAGCCAGCCCCATGTGGTCCTTTTTCAGCCCCACATTTGCCCATGTGTTGGCTCTATGAGTAGTGGCAAGGATGGGAAGAAATGCCAGCAATGCCCATGCAAGTCCGCACTGCGTTCCAAGCACGTGCACTTTCTGTGCTGCAATATGGCTGCAAACCCAAAGCTGCCAATAATCTTGCTGTAGTGACCACTGCATCTTAAGTGCCCTTGCTGATGCCCTGCTGCTGAGACTTGCTAGCTGCTCCTTCTTTAGGCAGGAGAAACTCAAACAGAATACCAATATGCAACAAAAACCAGTAAGGAGGAACTGTGAATTGCTGCTTTCCACAGGAGAGGGTTACTGTGGATGGGTTCATGCCTGTTTCTATATCTGCTCCTTACAGAGCATGCAAGAACATAGTCACTCCAAAGATATGTGCTCCTGTCTGAGAGTAGAGAGTCTGTGTTGGTGTGTGCTCCTGGTTCATCCTGGTGGATCTGATAACATGAGCAGATGAGAAAATAAATGGTCCCTGCTTTGGCACTCCCTTCTCCTGCATTGTCACCTCCAGAGCCACTAGCACTGAAGCACTGCTGTCCCAAGGGCTGCTTGCATGTCTTCAGTCTTCCGAGGTTCATGCTAAGGATGGAAGTAGTCCCACAGAGCACAGCCCAGGGCACAAACAAGGGGATGTAAAGCAGCTTCTCCTTGCTGCTGTCAGCATGGGCTGATCCATAGATCCTTACATTTACAGCACTTTAATTTGTCTGACAGGGTTAATATTCCCCTCATGGGCCAGTGGTGACATACTGACGAATGTTTTAAAGTGCTAAATATCTTTACTTTATAGAAAATACTAGTCCTACCAAATCCAGTCCAAATATTCTATGATCCTGAGCCGCCTTCTTAGATAGGACTGGTGCTTCATCGTACCCATGCAAGCCATCTGCACAAACAGCATTTACGTGGCACCTGCTGAGGGACCCGTCCCCTCCTCAGGACCCACGGCAATGGTGTCAGGGATGGCAGGAGGTGGTGGGTTGTGGGGAGATGTGTGGCTGCCTGGGAATTTCCCCAGCTGGCTTGGGGTGACTGAGGCTGCCTGGGCCTGGACTGACCCCCTGCCTGCATGGGGCTGGGATGGCACACAGTGCCCCTGGAATTTCTGGGGCTCCCAGCAGCACCTCCTCCGCACTGCCCTCCTTTGAGGGTCCAAGTTTCACAGCCAGAGCTGGGGCTTTTCTTCCTTTCCATCTCTGCTGTTTGTCTCAGAGAAAACCCATCTTGTTGTTTTTCAACTGCCTGAAGGTGTTTTTCGGGGGTTTTTCAGGCTATTTTGAAGCTCATTTTTCCCAGATGTGCTTTTTTTTCTTCTTCTTTTTTATTAATTTTTTTTTCTTCTGCAACTTTTCTTCTTTGCCTTAAAGTTTCCGGCCACGTGACTTTCAGCTTACATCCCCGAGGTTCTGAGAAACCACAGGAGGCTGAGACCTAAAGGGAAGGTGCAGAGCCTCCGAGAGGAGAGGCAGCGAAAGTGTTGGAGTGTTGGGCAGGAGGACAGTGTGCTTCTGGGACGGGTGAGAGCAGGGAAGCCAAGGGCTGTCTCGGGGTGACAGAGGAGGGTGGGGAGAGGCAGAGAAGCAAGACAGAAGGCAGGCACACCAAGAGGACAAAGGAAGCTGAAGAGACCCTGGGAGCCAGAGCCAGGAGCCATGCCCCACAGCTCCGACAGCAGTGATTCCAGCAGCTTCAGCCAGTCTCCCCCTCCCAGCAAGCAGGTAAAGCAGGGACCTTCCCCAGCTCTCCCCAGATGGAGAGTCCTTTGGGGTGGGCCATGGATGGGTGGGAGGTAGGGTGGCACCCACTGTTGGTGTTTTCACAGCACAATATGGCAGAGCTTTCTAAGAACAGCTGTGGGGAGAGGGATCCAGGGCTCAGCCGAGGGCCCTGGCAGGAGCCCTAGCCACTGAGGTGGGTAAAGGAGGAGAGAGAAGACCTGGTTACCTGTGGCTATGCCGGGGCAACTGAGGGGCCAGGACCCCAGGCATGGTGGATCCTGCAACACATGCCAGGCAGGCAGGAAGCTTCATCATGAGAGTTGGTGCTCTGGCAAGGAGCCTGTGCAGGCACCTCCTGTCCATGAACTGGGACAGCTCAGGGCCCTGACACTTTGGGTCTGCTTTCTCTTCTGTTCAGCCTCAGAGATTTTTCATCTCAGCAATGCTTGACAGAGGGATTTTGGTTTGTTGCATGGTGTACTTTAATGCAGGTCTTTTGCTGGCAGATACTGACACAAATCCAAGGTGTTCCCACTGCCTTTTCTGGCTAAGCTTTATTATATCTGTCATTTGCCATTTCTCTAAGGCTGGCAACAATGGCAAGTACCTGAGACTTTGCTCAGAAATCTTGGGGATGATCAGGGCAGATGACTTCTGGTTTGCAACCAAGGATGAGGAGGCATCCTTGTAGAGAAAGGGATAAAGCACAGAGTTTGCCAAAGGATAGGGACTGGACTTCATGAAGAACCTGCAAGATGCTGTATCTGAGATATTTTCAGGGTCTTGAAAGGAAGGACAAAACGGTTAGGTTCAAAGAAAAAAAAATCTTGGGTGGGGGGAGGGGGGAGAGGATGTGGACAGATTGATGGGCTGGGAAGATAACTTTTGTGGCTGACTTTTGTAGTCTTGTGGAGAAGTGGTGGTGTGAATGTTAAAGAGTCCACAAAAGGGGCAGTGCAATATGAAAATAGAAGATGAAAGAGACTGTTTGACAGTTTCAACTGTCAGAAGGCAGCAGAAGGACCAGATCTCAGCAGAGAATGGCTGGTCTGTGAAGCTCATGACCTGGAGCCTGGAGATCTGTTCTTCCCTGCCAAAGGAAGTGTTGCAGTCAGCATTGCAGGCATTGCTACCAAGGGAATCCAGGAAAGAGCAAGCACAGAGATCAGAGAGCTGAAGCAAATGAGATCTGAGTTAAAAACAAAAGCTCAGAGTCTGTCTAGTCAAACAAAGCAAGGGCCACATTGCATTGGTAGGGTCCACAAGAAATAAAGCCTGAGGGAGAAGGGTGATGGAGAGAGGAGGGACCTACAGGGGTGAAAGGAGGAAAACACAGACTGTATCTTTGGAAAAAACAGTTTATCCAAGGATTTGAAATGTCCACATTGCCATTACCCTGCAGACAAACAGGGAAGGGAAAGGTTTTCTGTACGAGAATTCAAATTGTCTCTCTTCCAGAAGGAGGTCCTTACTCTGGTCCATCAATCCATATCCCAGGCCTGGGTGTTGGTGAAGGGAGAGTAGTCATTTCCCAGCAGTACTGGGATGCCTAAGGGTATCAGATGTGCCCCTCCTGGACAACGAGGGTGCCAAAACCATCACGTCCCTGGGCTATGGCTTTATCCTGGCATGGAGGGTGTGTATCCCATGTCCTGTGCTTCAATCATGTTATCTGCTGTGTTCCCTTCCCACTTACTGCTCTGCAGGAGAAGGGCGAGGGAGGGAATGCCCCAGTTATTTCTATGGCTTGTTTCCCTAGGACTCTTCTGATGACGTGAGAAAAGTCCAAAGGAGGGAGAAGAATCGTATCGCTGCCCAGAAGAGCCGCCTGAGGCAGACTCAGAAAGCAGACACACTGCACTTGGTGAGCACTCCCACTCTCCTTTGTCCTCAGTACTGAGGGCTCACATAGGACACAATGTGCTTTTCCCCTGGGACTTGGTGTGGAGATGCTCAGTGGAAGCAGGACAGGAGAACTGAGGCCAGGGCAGGATGTAGGAATTAGCACTCACAGCAAGAGCGCACAGCCCAGGATGACTGCCACTGAAGCATTTAGTTTTGCACCTAGTTTTGAATCCATCTTTATCTCTCAGTCTTTCATTACTGATTTCCTTTTCCAGTCTCTTCTGACTGAGTCACTCAGAACCTCTTTGAAAACACAGTCTCACCCGGGCTGAATTTCCCTGGGTTTGTGATTCATGCCATCATTTATGCAGAGATGTAACAGCATACAGGGATGCTTTTCTGTGGCACTGTTGGCACCCTTGCAGCTCTTCTTGGTGTGAAGAATTAGATGTCTGCTTTTCAGAAGGGATTGTCACTTCTGGCTGTGTGTGTTTGGGCAGGAGTATATGGTCAGTGTCAGAGCACAGGGGTTGAGATCCTTTGAATTTTGCACGGTGATAAGTGCAGTCCCATATGTTTTGGGCTACTGGCGGGCAGGATGAAGAACACACAACCTGCAGTGGTCAGAGACCATCTTTATCCCTGCACTGGCTTGGCTGTCATTTGAAAAGTGGTAGTTGAGCTCATGTTCAAAAAACCGTCCTTTGACTTAGCGATCTTCATATACCCCTATATCCCAATTTTTGGGAATAATTCTTGAGAATTCAGTCCTGAACCTTCCTCCTGACATAGTGGCCTCATCGCATGGTTGGAGTTGGGTTTAAGGCAGAGATTTCACTCTTTTCTCAGTAAGTGATGATTGTTCTAGAGCTGACATGGCTCTAGGCTGGTTGCATAATATCTGCCAGCAGCAGTGGCTCTGGGTGACTGTGCCTGAGAGGGGTAAAGAAATACCCTTTCCTTGGGGTCAGTACTCTCTCCAAGATAATCCTAGGGGTAGATATGGGCTCTGTTCCTTCCCCGGGAAAATTCTACCTAGCTGTGCACCGAGAATTGGACTGTTTTTCTTAGAGCAGATAGCAAATCATATGAGATTACTACTGCTCAGCTGGCATTGATAGCACACAGTCCTTGCCTTGCCATGGGGATGGGAGCAGCAGAGCTAAGTCCTGGATCCTGACAGACAGATGTAAAAATGCAGAGAAGCAAGTAGAGGATGGATGGTGAGTTTCTGCTAGTTTTTTTTTCCATTTCCTGGTGGATAGTGAACGCCTGCTGCTCCTGGGTTTATTCCCTGAGTGCTCTTTGCCTTTGGTTGATTCTGAATCAGGGACTTTGGTTCCTTGAAGTGGTTCTGCCCGGAAGAGCATGGCTCAGCTTAAGCTATGGTGGTATGAAAGGAGCCAGCAGCTCCATCTGCCCCAGGGTTTTGTAGTTTGTGTTTTGAGAGGAATGAGTCATGGGGAGGTTGGAGCTCCCGGCCCCTGGGTGATTCCCATCAGTTCCTGAGTTCCATAGCAGTCATGATTTCCAAAGAATTTGGTCATGTCCTTGAGATGCTGTGTGACTCCTGCAGTGACAGCAGCTGTAACTGGTAGGTGTGTTTCACCTGTGCGCAGAGAGCAGGTGCCATCAGGAGTCAGCATGGCAGCGGAGGGGTGAGCAGGGGGATGACATGTTCACTTTGCCAAGGTGGTGGTGCAGCTTTCCAGGGCCTCAAAGTGCTGAGTCCTGCTTTAGCTGTCTCGGCTGAGATTGCAAAGCCTGCTGCTGCATCCTCCCTCCCTCCTCTGGTCCTGCCCAGGCTGCTGGCTCCATGGTCAGTTGGTGCCTGCGATGCTCCAACCTGGAGCTGGCTGAACTTCACAAGGTGAGGTAGCAAAGGCTTCGATGCTCTCAGTGTCGTTGAGATGAGGCCGAGCATCTTTATTAACTCCTTTGTTGTTATTCTCATTAATAACAGTATTGATTCAGTTCTTCTGAGGCCTCAGTTTCTCTTTTCTTCTGACTCAAGTGTCTTCCCCTCCTCCCCACCGTGCCACTGCTTTCCCCGGCTGCTAGCAGGAAGCAGTGAGTCTCTTCTTTCCAGGGCAATGACAGGTTTCCTGTGACAGGTGGTTTTCTGGTTAAAGACGGCGGTTATTCAGCTCGCTCTCCCCCGGGGGCTGGGCTGCCCGGGAAGCACCCGGAGATGTGCGTGTGCATGAGAGGGAGCGAGAAAGCCTGGGCGGGAGCAAGCCACAGTCACTTCTCGTAAGCCGGCACTGGGGAGCGTGTCTGGGGCCGCCAGCATCGCACTTGCACCCGGTCTGGCCAGCTGGGGGAGGAGGGTTTGCCCAGGCAGGGCTCTGTGACGAATTTACCAGAAATATGTCATTCTGGAAATTCTGTGGGGCAGAGAGGCGCAGGACCACAACCCCCCTGTCCCTAGCTCATCGGCTCCCACACTGAGGAAGTCCCTGTGGTTTTCTGTCCTCAGGAGAGCGAAGACTTGGAAAGGCAGAATGCTGCCCTGCGCCGGGAGATCAAGCAGCTGACAGAGGAGATGAAGCACTTCACCTCGATGCTGAGCTCCCATGAACCACTCTGCTCCATCCTGACATCCCCTCCACCGCCTCCAGAAGTGCTTTACGCCACACACTCCTTTCACCAGCCCCACATTAGCTCCCCACGCTTCCAGCACTGAGCTGGAAGTAGGACGACAGCCTGCCAGCTCCACTGATGTCAAGAAGTAACTTCATGGGGCTCACTTTTCCATCCAAGGGAAGGAATTGGACAAGTGGACGTTCCTTCTTAAAGTGTGTACTCTGAGTGACTTGCCTAAGACTTACTTCCTGTGCAGAAATGGCAGAGCCACCACAAAGCATCTTGGGACAGTTTCCAGCTTGGATCCTGAGAAGAGGAGGCAGTCACAAAAGGGCACCAACCCCCTTCTGTGGTGCTTGTTTGGGCACACTCACAAGAGCGTGCAGCACCGACAGCCTCCATAAGAGTGCCTGGATGTGACATGCAACAACCGGAGCTACAGGAAGAGGAATGGGAGCAGGGGTGGAGGAGGTTGGGGGCCACAGAGTATCAGGGAAAAACTGGTTTATTTTTGTAAAATAAAGATTGAAAATTCTTAACTCTTTGTTTCCAAAATAAGGTCTGAGTGAATCCTGGCATGATACAGTGAAGACACAGGTGGCAGGACAGGGAGAGCTAGGAGTCCAAGAAACAGCCCTGCATATGCAGAGGTCTAATCCAGGGCCAGCAACTGCAGCCTCACATTTAGAATGGGGGCCCATGTGCATAGGCTAGGCAGGCTGAGGAGCAATGGTTTGTGAAGTGATGGGGTCTCTGGGGAGGATGGGTCCCTCCTTGCTGCAGGGCTGGACTTGGCTAATGAATCTGATGTGCCATGTAACATCACAGGTCTCTTCCCTGCTGACCCTCTTGGCTCCCTGCTACTGATGGCTATACCTCCACATGTTCCCCTTGCACGTGTGGAGGTGCACTGCCATATCATGGTAGCTCACATGCAGCCCTTGGTGGGCTGGTGGAGCCTTCAGGCATGGAGGGAAGTGGTGATGCTGTGCTGGAGTGCATAGGAGAAGCAGGACTCTTGCTTCAAGGCGCCCTGCTAAGGTATGTAGCTGTAGCCTATGCTGTTTCCCCTTGCCCACCAGTCACAGCTCTACAAAAGACTACTGCACTACCTCATGCATTGAAACAGATGAAACCTGAAAGGTCAGAGAAGATTAGGTTGGTACTGCTGGGTGTGATCTACTGGAAACACAAACTGGTCCATACAGATGGTCTCTACACCTTATACCCCACCAGCCAGCAGTCACCTACCACCTCCACTCTATACACAAAGCTGAAGCCCACCTGTTGGTGCAGGTCCTGTTGCTAATGGTGGCTCAGGACTGCTGCCATCTTAAAGGAACATCAGCTGCAATTTTTTCAGCACAAGCAGTGCTGTTGACACAGGCTTTTAAATGAGAGAAATTCAATTCATAGATATCCTTCTTTCAGGCGCAGGGAAGCAGCATATTTCATGGGATTTGGCCCATCATCGTAGCCCACAAGAGAGGTTGGATAAGTCTGTAATGTGCTGTGCTGCACACATTTTCTCTCTGGTTTGCACTAGCAGGAGGATAACCAAATACTGCCATGCCTCAGCAAGCTGCCCTCAGGAGATGCACAGGTAGCACTGTGATTTCTCATTCCATGATCTATTCAGGTGCTTCTGCCTCCAGTTTCTGGGCCAGCATGGGAAGCACTGTAGTCAGAGACACTTCGTGTCAGCACGTGGGCATGGGTGTGGGCATCACCACCCTACAAAAGCAGTGCTGAGGCAATGGGCAATTGCACTGGCCCTCCCTGTCTGTGCAGGTCTGCCCCTTGCCCCAAGGGGGATGTGCACACATAGGGAAGGATGGTGGTTGTTCCAGCCAGGCAGCTGGGTTTCTGCACACAGGACATGCAGAATACATCTACAAGAACAATTTCATTGTGTCTTACACCAGCCCTCTGTGCTGGATCTCACACCAGTAGGCTTCACTCCATCCACTGATTCAACAAATAGAGCTGCTGATCCTTGCACAGGCCATGCTTTGAGTCACCCAGGCTACACAGGCTCTTCCCAAAGTGCTTTTCTCTGGGATTTGTCCTTTCAAGCCTGAGAGAGACAACTGTCCTCCAGCTCTAGAGGACTTTGTCTTTACAGGCTCTGCTTCTGCTCCTTCAGCTTCTGGCAGATTTTCTCCTGGATTCTTCACTTGGTGTTCCTCAGGGCTCTGATGGTTCCATGTTTTCTGGGTTACAGTCACAGAAAAAAGCTTTGGCTACCTTGCTTGGGGTTTGCTGTGCAGGGAACTGCAGGTTCATGCTCCTCACTGAAGGATGCAACAGAGCCCTAGCACAGCTTGCACTGACAACACAGTGTCACCTAGAACAAGAGATCTCCATCCTTGCTGTGCCCTTTGTGTTTTCTCATGCCTATAAAATGCTAAGCTTGGTTTTAACTGCAGGTGGAGGAGGTCCTACACTGATGTATATGTCAACTATGCCCACGCAGACATGAAGCCAATATTTTTGCTGCAGAGCTGTCGAGGTCTGAGATCCTTCATACTGGGTGGGGTTCACATAATGCCCACAGAATTGCTAGACTACTCACTGGTAACGTCTCAGACCTATTACTGCGACTCAGAACGAAAATAAGCGGTAAGTGGTGAGACTGGAAGACAGGTTTGCAACAACATCCTCTCCAAAACTTAAACAATGTTCTTGGCACATTCAGTTAAGCTGTCTCTCCTCTGCATGGCTGGCTGTGAGCTGGAAGGCCTCCTAGCAGCAGCACTATGCTCAGCCGTTTTGGCCAAACACTGGGTGTTCCGCTGGTGCTAGGAGACATATCTTCCAATCTGACTCGTCTTTGCCCCAGTCTTGCCCTCAAAAACCTGATCACAGAAGATGATCTGCACAGTTCAACCCTGTTTTGACTTCTATTTGCTTATAGTGATTGTGAGGTGTCTCGGAGGCAGTCTCTCTTTGCTATGAAGAATGATTCTCCTTGGGGGAATGTCCTTATCACCCAAGCAGCATTGGACAACAGATCCTTTCAGAGCCATTAGCCCTTTCAAACAGTGGTTGAGAAAAAGATCTTTTCCTGAGGCTATTTGCAGAGCTGTACAAGCTGTTTATTTAGGCTGTGTGAGGAGATTCTTTCACTTCTGTACCGGCGCTGTCTCTTGCTTCTTTTTCCTGGGCTCCGGGCCTCTACTCTCCAGTCTTCAAGCAACTTCTTTTAGATTTCGAAGTAGCCAAGTGCCTGTTCTTCGGTGTGGCCCTCGCTGTCCTGAAATGAACTGTAAATGAGCCTAAAAGAGGAGCAAAGGGCAGGGAGGTGGCCAGGGCAATTAACCCCGATTGCTTTCGATTGTCTGCTCCTACCAGCAGTGCAATTCCTTTCGACATTCATTTCCACGGCGTCTGGCATTTCGCAAGTGCTATGGTACCTGGCCATGCCCAGCCTGCAGGACCACTGTCGTGCTGGCTATTCCAAGGGAAGGGGATGCTTCTGGGAACACAACTGGATAAACCGGGTGATGGCTGGTCCTGTGGCAGCCTGTCCCTACCCAGCAGGACGTCAGTGCCTGTCTATTGCGCTACCCGTCCCTCACTGAAAACCTCTCTCCAAGCAGTACATAGATGGGGAGTCACAGGAGGCTGAGAGACTCTTTCCCAGCCGGGGAAGGCCAGTCGGGGAGAGAGACAGCTCTTCTGCGAGCACAGCCTGCCGAAACACTGCTTGCGTGCTGGCCTCTGCTGGGCGAAAGCTGAGCGCTCCCAGCCTGCACCTGCACTCTTCTTGGCAGAGCCGGTTTGAAGGTTGTTAGCCTGGCTATTGCCAGACTAGAGGGAGGACTGAGCGGCTCAAGGCTAATGTGTGTGATGGCAAGTGTTGGGTAAGGCTGCCTGAAGGGGATGTCCATGTCCAAGTGGAAGAGCAAGTCTGTAGTCTCCCTTAGCCAAGGATCTTGTTCTTGGTCCAGGGACCTGTTCTGCTTTGTGGTCCCAGCATGTTTCCATTGTTGCATGAGGGTACAGGGAGCTTGGCTTGGTGTTCCCCACCTTCCCCAGCTCCCGAGGGGCTTGCAGAGGTGTTTGCAGGCATCGCTGGGCTGGATGTGGGGGCTGAACCTGAAAAGCATCACAGGTGGAAGGAGCTACTTGCTAAAATAAACAGATCTGACTGCAGCCCTGATTAACTATAATCACCTTCACCAGGACCTGAGATAAGAATGGTAGATTTCAGTGTTTTGATATCCAGAAAGGCTTTTGTAGAAGCACTTGGGCTGTATTTGTGCCCAGCAGCCATGTCCCTGGGGCTCTGCTGCATACTGGTCAAAGCCAGCCGGAACTGAGAGCAGGTGTAATGTGGCACTCTGAGGCAGCTGCCGTGGGTGCTTTTCCAGCCTTAGTGACCATTGCCTCCACATTCACTTGCTGACTGGTGTCTTCTTTGCAGAGAAAATAGAGATGTGTGGCAAACATCTGTTGATACAAGCAGAGGATGGAGAAGGCAACTGGGGAACAAGAGAGTTACATTTTCCTTTATGGCCTTTACCGAAATTCAATACCTCACATGGATCGAGGCATCCTGGCAACTGTGCAGAAGGATAGCAAGTCACAAAGCACAGGGGTTGTTGTAACTTTCTCTCTTTCCGTCCCCCTAAAATCACAGGCTCAGCACTTTACAAGCCATCTGTATCAGCGTTTCAGGCATGCTTTTATGGTAAGATAAATAAAGACAGGACATTCAGTGCTGACATAATCTTAACGTATCTCTCCCGATGCGAAGCCCAGGGCAATCTTTTATGTCTGGTATTCCCTTTCTGCTTCATACTCCTCAGCTCAGCTGCAGGCTCTCCGTGTGGCAGGTGCCAATGTGGGGAGACACAGAGCTAGCCAGTCCAGGGGAAGGTGCATTCATCCCACTGTATGGGGCTGTTTTATGAACTCAGGTGTCATCACTGTGATGCCCTTTCTCTAAATTGATTCACATGTGAATTTTAATTCTTGAGGGGTACAAAAAGGGTAATACCCAAGCACTGTTTGCATGGAGTCAGAAGAAAAGTAGAGGCACATCTTCCATTTGGCAAAGGACAGAATAAGCAGCTCTGTTGCCCATTTTGCTGTGGCTCCAAAGTATTTATGCACTTGTTTTACAAATCCCATCTCAGAATTCACTTCTGTTAGAGCTGCCAGCCTGCATCAGCAAGAGGATAATCTGCTGCATACTGGACCAAAGCAGCAGCCCACAAAAGAGACCCTCTCTCTGCTTCTTACAATGATCATAGTGTCCAAAGCAGCACTTGTCATACAAGAATTGCTGCCTGGATGCTAATATTTCAGCACACACAGATCAAAGAAGATCGGGAATCACTGCTAAGAGACAAAGCATTTTTATAAATCACAAGCTGTCAAGAAGAGAAAAAGCAAAGCATGGCATGAAATGGTGAGACTTTTCCTAGCAAACATCACTGTGCTCACTTTGTCTGGGTT